CACTTATCTCTGCAATCAATTTATGCACATTTCACCAAGAAGACAAGAAATACTACTAGTTGACTCAAAGCTGAATATTAAGACTATGATGCATGCATAAGACCTAGGTTAATACTGATACATGGAGCTGCTAATGAAACACAGACAAATAGTCATACTGAACTTTTCCATTGTAAAAGCAAAATAATACTGATGATAAGTAGAAAAATAACTTTAACTCCTGAAATCCAATCCTAACAGTAGCTGAAATTATACTGAAGTTGAATTTTCCCATTCATTTGAATGGAGCAAGATTTTCAAAATAAAATTAAATATTTTAAAAGTATGAAGTTCAGAAAACTTCTGAAGAGACGCATGAATGTCCTTGAAGAGCTGAACATTCTAATAGCTAAAAGTATGCTGGAGTAGAATTTTTCCATTCATTTGTATGGAGCAAGATTTTCAAAATAAAGCTAAATATTTCAAAAGTATGAAGTTTAGAAAACATCTGAAGAGAAGCATGAATGTCCTTGAGAAGTTGAATATTTGGATAGCTAAAATTATGTCGAAGTAGAATATTCCCATTCATTTAAATGGAGCAAGATTTTCAAAATAAAGCTCAATGTTTTAAAAGTATGAAGTTTACAAAAGCTCTGAAGAGAACCATGAATGTCCCTGAAGAGCTGAACATTTTGATAGCTGAAATTATGCTGAAAGTTTGATGAAGTAGAAGTTTCCCATTCATTTGAATGGGGCAAGATTTTCAAAATAAAGAAACATATTTAAAATGCATGAAGTTTAGAAACGGAAGGAAGTGACATCTCTGTCAGGCAAAGATCAATTATGATTTCTGCTATGACTGCAAACTCAACACAGCATCCTTTATTCAGTGGATTAGGTCTTCCAAAAATGTATAGTGTGATTAAACCAAAGCAGTGGCATTAAGTAAAGTCTACTAGCAGGACAGTCAGAACAGAACACCACTGTTAAGAGGAGTTCAGTGTCAAAAGCAGTTTTTTTTCCAATTTCAAAGGTAAAATGAATGCACAATTGCATTTACTCCTCAGCTAATGTAATTTTACTTTTAGAGACCAGAAATGCTTCACAAAACCTTCCAGGTTTACTTCCGGATGCAACCAGTGCACGCTGTGGCATGTTTTTCAAAATGCACATGAAAGGGAAATTTTCACTTGAGAGATTTTGAATCTTTACGCACAAATTCATGAACCCTCAGTTTAGATTCAGACCTCTTCTATAATCCTCGTCAACCTTCATGCACTGCACCAGATGGTAATTACTGATATGAAACCTGCTGTACAGAGCAGAGTATGTAATTATCAACCAGCCATGTCTTCAAAGACCCAGGACAAAAAAAAAAAAACAAAAGATGAAGTTTACTAAAGTTCTGAATAGAAGCATGAATGTCCTTGAAGAGCTGAACATTTTGATAGCTGAAAGTTTGCTGAAGTACAAGTTTCCCATTCGTTTAAATGGGGCAAGATTCTCTAAATAAAGCTAAATATTTCAAAAGGATGAAGTTTACTAAAGTTCTGAATAGAAGCATGAATGTCCTTGAAGAGCTGAACATTTAAATATTTGAAAGTATGCAGAATTAAATGTTTCCCCATTCATTTGAATGGGGCATGATTTGCAAAATAAAGCTAAATGTTTCAAATGTATAAAGTTTAGAAAACTTCTGAATAGTAGTATGAATGTCCTTGAAGAACTGAACATTTTAATAGCTGAAAGTGTGCAGAAGTAAAAATTTCCCCATTCATTTGAATGGGGCAAAATTTTCAAAATAAGGGTAAATATTTAAAATGTATGACGTTTTGAAAACTTCTGAAGAGAAGCATGAATGTCCTTGAAGAGCTGAACATTTTGATAGCTGTGCTACCTGAAATGCTGAAAGTATGCTGAAGTAGAATTTTCCCATTCATTTGAATGGGGCAAAACTTTCAAAATAAAGCTAAATATTTCAAAGGTATAAGGCTTGGAAAACTTCTAAAGAGAAGCATGAATGTCCTCGAAGAGCTGATTTTGATACCTGAAATATCTGAAAGTATGCTGAAGAAGAATTTTCCCATTCATTTGAATACAGGAAAAAAAGTGTGGAATTAGCCACTGAACCAGTAAAGTTCAAGTTAAAATGTTTATTTGTCATATGCACAGTTAGGAAATGTGCTTTCCTATACATTGAAATTCTTACTTTGCTGTCCACATGAATGCCACAAAATACAAATGAAATATAAAGTAGATAAATAAATAACACAAAGTCCCTTGCAACATAAAAAGTAACATAAAGTCCCTTTATATTGCAGGTAAGTGCTTTATATGGCACAAGATTATAAGCCCGGCACAGGTTCAAAAATGGTTTTTGGCATCAGATGTGAATTGCCTCCTTGACGTGTCTTTGTGTTTTCAGGTTTTGATTTCTAATAGTTACAAAACAATTTTAAAAACATGTCCTCACTTTGTAATCAGGGGTTATAGTGTGCAGACTGAATGAATACTCAGTACTTGTTTACAGTCCAGATGCCAAAACAGCCTTTAAACTGTCATTTCTCATTCTGAGGAATGGACAGATCTAGTGTCTTGCACTTAGTCAGAAAGTGACCTCTGTTTAGCCTTCCCCTATAGCAGCAAGATGCAGGAAGCTTATGTTGGAGCATCACTCTAAAAGCACAGTTGAGCAGCACAGATCAATGTGTTTTGGGCAGATTTTTCACACAACGATGCTGGAAACAGACCAACTAGAAAGATCAGCACTACGGAGAGCGCCAAGCAGGTCCAGAACGGAGGTGTCCCCAAGCTGGAGGCCAGGCTTTAGAGACATTACATTTCCTTTATAAGTGACCAATGAATAAAGAAGACAAAAAACATAAAAGGCCATGAGATGTGTTTGTAGCTGACCAAAAAGCAGCCTGGTAAAGTTTGAAATGTGAGTGTAAAAAGCTTAACTTGACTGGGTTTGTAGCACAATTCCTGGATTTAAAACCTGTTGTATTAACCATATCTCCATACCTTGTGCACCAGTTCCTCGTCATATGTCAGAGCTGGTGGAGTCTTTGCCTGGCTCTCTGTGATCTCTCTGGATCCATAGCCACTATCAGGCTGAATCTCAGGGTAAGCTGATGTGTAATATGCCGAGATCGGCTCCATGGACTCCATCCGCTCCATCTCTGTCTTCCTCCCTGCGTACTTTTACAATGGAGAACCTCGGTGAGGAGAATTAAGGCTGGCAAACCACACCACACAACTCTGTCTCTCTCTCTGTATTCAGTCTTTCTAACACAACAGTCTCATGTGAGCGCACCACACTTCTCACTAAGCCCCTCCTTTTGAGTGAATCACAGTCTGCACACTACTGCCTACGCCACTTAACATTTAAAAGGCATGTCGTGATCATTCAGCCACATCACGCCACATACAAAGGTGGGGGAGGTGAGGATGAGGGAGCAGGAGGAGGATGGAGCAGAGTATGACTGACTGGCCACTGAGAAGACAAAGATGATGTATGACAGCTTGTGTGGATGGAAGAGGGGAGAAGATGTCACTGAAGAGAGAAGGCTGAGGCTGCATCCAAACACAAACCTGTATGTCTGTACATTAGAGCTTTTCTTGCAGTAAAACTTTTGGCCCTGTCCAACTGTGGAACTCATTCGACTCTCTGAATGCCAACTAATAACATTTTAACACTTAATTAGTGGTGGTAATATAATGCTTTCTACACAGCCAAGACAAAATCTTGAATTAAAAAAGTTTTGCATGTTATATGGCTCTTTTTTTTTAATAATCACTTATTCCAGGATTTTACCAGGTTAAAACAGGAAGTTGGAATGCTTTCAGTATTTTGACACACACACACACACACACACACACACACACACACAAACACACTGAGGTAGATTTTGTTTTATTTTACAAAACAGATTTATGACACACCAACAAAGAATACATATATACATATTTATCTCTAAAGAAAAAAATAATCATACCACACCAACAGTCATAAATAAAATAAAATAAAATAAATAACTAGGTCAACATTATCCCCTATGGAACAGAACACATCCACAGCTGCCCAAATTAGGCTAAACATCTCTATATTGTCCACTATTCTATAATAGACACGCTCCACATTGAGATGGACTATTAGCAGGCCTTTAAGCACCTACCCAGGATCCACAAAGCCCGAGCCATGGCACTGCATTACATCCTGCAACACCTCGACTCCCCAGGGACCCATGCTCTTTGTGGACTTCAGCTTGGCATTCAACACCATCATCCCGGACACCCTTTACTCCAAACTGACCCAGCTCACTGTGCCTGCCCCCACCTGTCAGTGGATTACTAGCTTTCTGACAGACAGGAAGCAGCAGGTGAGACGGGAAAACCACATCCTGCACCTGGACAATAAGCACAGGCGCCCCCCAGGGATGTGTGCTCTCCCCTCTGCTGTTTTCACTCTACACCAACAACTGCATCTCAAAGGGCCTGTCTGTCAAGCTCCTAAAGTTTGCTGATGACACAACGGTCACTGGTCTCATCCGAGATGGCGACGAGTCAGCCTACAGACAGGAGGTTGAGCAGCTGGTCCTGTGGTGTAGTTGCAGCAACCTGGAGCTGAACATGCTGAAGACAGTGGAGATGATGGTGGACTTCAGGAAGAACCCCCCCACCTTACCCCCACTCACCATATGTGGCAGCACTGTATCAGCAGTAAAGTCCTATAAGTTCCTGGGCTCCACTATCCCCTAGGACCTGAAGTGGATGTCCAACATCAGGCCTATCATCAAGAAGGCACAGCAGAGGATGTACTTCCTGTGAGGAAGTTTGACCTGCCCCAGGAGCTGCTGATACAGTTCTACAGAGGAATCTTCGAGTCCGTTCGCTGCACCTCCATCACTGTCTGGTTTGGCTCAGCAACCAAACAGGACAAGTACAAACTTCAGCGGACAGTCAGGACTGCAGAAAAGGTCATGGGTGCCAGCCTGCCCTCCATGGAGGACCTGTACACCTCACGGGTCAAGGTCATGGGTGCCAGCCTGCCCTCCATGGAGGACCTGTACACCTCACGGGTCAAAAGGAGGGTGGAGAGGATCACTGCAGACCCCTCACACCCGGGACACAATCTGTTTGAACTCCTCCCCTCTGGACGGCATTACAGGTCACTGCGCCAAGACAACCAGGCACAAGGACAGTTTCTTCCCCCTGGCTGTCACCCTGATGAACACTAGACCCACAACAGTATGTCTGGACAACAACCCTCAGTGCAATACCTTTCCTCAGTGCAATACCTGTAAATATACATTTTACAGATTATACAGATCCGTACCAGTCTCTACTTTTAAGTACTCTATTTTTATTCCTATTTATCTCATTTCAATGAGCATTCCTTTGTTTGTCTGCATTGTTTACTGCTCGTTTATACTGCTTATTTTGCATTGTTTGCACTGTTTGTTGCTTATTTTGTTATATTACACAGCCTTATGCTGGTTTAGTGTTTACTTGCCCCTTACAAGGGAATATGTACATACACATTGAGAGCGGATGTACCAGAGTCAAATTCCTCGTGTGTCTGACACACCTGGCCAGTAAAGCAGATTCTGATTCTGATATACAACGTTCTTCCGTAAGGCAACAAGTAAACAAGATAAGACCTCAGTCTTATCAGAACGCTCAGAATGCAGCTGCTTGCCTACTGTCAAACACTCCAAAGAATGCTAACATCACCCCGGTTCTTTAGTCCCTTCACTGGCTTCCGGTACAGTTTAGAATAGATTTTAAAATTTTACTGTTTGTGTTCAAGGCCATTAATGGTCTTGCGCCAGTCAATTTGACTGATCTTTTAACCATTTCATGGACTATTGGAATGCTACTACACAAGTAACCCCAGCAAGAGGGGTTACATACGGAGGATGTGGGACCTATGGATACTTCATAACCCAACATCTAGACTAATATCAAAACAACTAGTAGTTCAATGCTCTAACATTCGCAAGAAGCATCTGCTATCACAACTAGAGATTGACGAAGTACAACACAAATGCTATGCCCAATGGCTGGTGGACCTGAGAGCAGACCACAGCAACCTCTCTGAAAAAGACTTGGTAATCATCACAATGGCAGACATTCAAGAGAGGGCCTCAAGTATGAAGAGCTGGACAGCACCAGGCCCTGACATGACCCCTGATTGAGCCAATTGCACAAGTCAACATCAAGTGCGGTATCTACCAAGGAGATGCTCTGTCCCCTGCTGTTGTTCTGATAAGTATATGTAGTTTACTATCTTAAATTAGCATGCTAATATTTTAATTAGCACTGAACACAAAATACAGAAGAAGCTATTCTGAAGATATCTGGTCATACAGAGACTGGAAAAAATGTTTTGACCAGACAGCTGATGACACTAGATGAAAAGATAGGAGATCATCAATGGTATTAGAATTCATGTATTCATGCAATTAATTAGGAAACTTTCATGGTGGTAGTGAAAGAACTCAGATTCTTTATTTAAATAAAAGTAACAGTACAGTAGTGTAAAAATATTCTGTTACAAGTAAAGGTCCAGCAATCAAAAGTTACTTAAGTATTAACATCAAAATATATTTAAATTACCAAAAAAGTACAGAACTGTGCACAAGATCTCCATGAAAGCACAAGGAGCTGGCAGATTGTAAACAAAGCAGAGAGCTCATATGGAGATTTCGTGTATACACAACTGACTCTTGCTTACTTCACAATGTAAAACAAATTATGGTTGTTTGGAGGCAGCATTTTTAATAAATATGCAGGTCTGGTGTTTCATAATAAAGAAACATGTCATCCAGTGCAGTGGAGTGTTTCACTGATGTCTTTTTAATTATTTTTGAACACCGACAGAAGTCTGTGGCAAAGACAAAGAAGTTGATCCAGGTCAGAGACTGACAGACATTAACCATGAACAGAAGCAATTCATTGTTGGTTTTAGTTTCTGTTTGAGGAGTGTTAAAAATACTATTAATATAGAAAATGACCAGCCTTATCCTTTAAGTTCAGTACTTGAGAATGTACTTAGTTACTTTCCAGTACTGATCAATAGTTAGATATTTCACGCAAACTACACATCAGCCTCACGGTGGTAATTCATTATCACAGTCAGTAGGATATATCATCCTGGAAGCATGAATATCTGTACCAGTTGTACATGCAGTATCTCATAAGATAGATGAAAACTTGATAAGGTATGGATTCACCAACATCATTATGAATCATTCTTGGGACACCGTGAAGATCTGCACTAAATTTCATGTTAATCTGTCCACTAGTTGTTGAGATATTTAACTATAAAATACAACTTATCCACATGGTGTACTGGAGAAAAAGTCTCAGCTCATTAGGCTCAGTAGGATTCATCATTGGGGAACCATGAAATAGTTATAAAAAATTTTCTGACAGCCTATCGAATTGTTGTGGCGATCCTTTGGCCTCAGCAAAAGTGGTAGACTGGCCAACATTTCCATACAGAGAATTTTCACTAGCATGGCTAAAAACTCAGTGTTACCATGTGATTCTCACACTCGTGTTGAAACTAAGAGGTGTTGTTGGCAAGACCAGACTTTACATAAACAGTAACTCTGTTTAGCCCAGATACCAATGACTGTTACACTTTGAGCACTTTGACAACAGCACAAGGTTACTCATTAATCCAGATCAAACACTAACCGAAGAAAACACAACCCAACCACAACCAGGAAGAATCTGCACAGTGAAAGCTACATGTGCATTCACCAAGGATGAACCTGCACTAGTACTGGGTTGGACTGAGAACACAACAGCCATTTTGTGACTCATTTGTTCTTTGCAAAGAAAAGCATGTAAACTAACAGTCCAAATGCACACATGTGGTTTATAAAATATTTCTGTGTATACCATTATTGAGTCAAGTAGAGGAGTTTACAGTGACCCACAGATAACTATGTACCCTCCTTGAGTTAGATCACCAGGTCTGCAAACTCCTTACACCCATCACTCATTCTGCTCCATGACAGCACTCCAACTCCCATAGACAGTACCAGGTTTTACTCGCACTCCCTCTGCATGTCACAAGCCTCTGAAATACATCTGTGCCCATTTATCTTTGAATTCTTACTGAAAGGTTTTTCAAAGAAATGCTTGCAAAATACTTCTCTGATAAGCTTCTGCCATTCACAACAAATGTTATACAGCAATTGGGCAATGGCCTAAGGAAAGAAGCCTGGCAATCATTGAAAAAATTCTTTACCAATCATAAACCTTAGGAGGTATTTTCAATTTATTCTGTTAAATCTCTGCAGAAATGAGCCT